AAACCATAGTCTATACATCTGTTCTTTTGAATAAATGTTTAACATTACGGAAATACGTTTGTATGACATTAAGTCCCGCCATCTTATACTTGACCATCCGATCCAACCAAAGAACTGCCGGCACTTTAAAGTAGTGAAGAGCTCCCGAGACGTAACGGAATGGTTGGCCATCTTTGATGAATTGATTCGTATTTGAATCGATAGTGAATTGACCGACAGATCCGATCGTACTCTACATTTAGATTGCATGACATTTCTAGAAATTTATTCAAAATAATAAAATATTCATTTTCTTACATAAATCAAAGTCGAGACCAAGAATATGAGTATTAACAAAGAATTCATAATTGATTTAACTAAAAAATGATAACTTATTATGCATTTAATTTATAAATTAGTATATCTCTCGCTATACATTTTTTTTGATTTAATAAATAATACTAAAAACCTTTTAATCTGTAATATAAAAACTTTATAATTTTATTATTAAACTCAGAAAAAGTCTGTGATTTGTTCAATTGTTATTGTGAAATATAAAAAGCACCTGTATCATAAAAAGCTTTCGGGGTTTGATTAAACTAGACCATAAAATAGTGGTATTGGTTTCTGGAATATGTTGAAGCATATCGTAATATTGTTATTATTGTGAAAGAGTTATGAATTAATGTTTAATAAAATAAATATTGATATAATAAATATGAATACTTCCTAATTATACATTTTTCTTAAATCCTTTAGCTTTGAAAATAAAAAATAATTAAAAATATTCTTCATTTTGATAAATGTTTCGTACATCCAGTCAATACAGTTCAATGCCATGTTTTAAACCATATCTGCATTTAAATAACAAATGTATACAAAATATTAAAACAATTTTATTCTTAAAACAAGGTTTTATTAAATATTTGGTCAAAAATATAATAATAATTACTTAAGGGGTATATTATATTAATATTTCTAAAATCAGTCACAACAACATTATTATATAAAAAACAAACCTTTAAATACACTTATAATTACATAAAACCAACAAATTATTAATTAATAAAATGCGGACAAAAAACAATTAAAATAATAAAATAAAAACGTAAACCAATTGAAAAAAGTAACGACACATTTAAAAAAAAAGGTTAATTTGAATTGTTTTTAAAATCAAAACACATAACAAATGGATTCATAAATAATTAGATAATAAAAACTAAATATTAAGTAAAGATATACCGAATAAGAGATTATTGTTATAATTTTTTATTTCATATAATTATTATATTTTTCATTGTGTTTTAAATTATGGTATAATTTATAATCAAAAACAAATCATTTGGATGTTGTCTCCAAACAATTTCTATCAAAAAGCAAGAAAAATTCGTTACATATTCTGTTTGTAGCGTTTGTTTTCGTTAAAAATAAAACAGATTCACAATATGTTTAATGAATTTATTTTGTTTGTGATTTCAATAATACTTGAAATTATTGCTAATTTGTTGCTAATATATAACTTAATACTCCAGATACTCGTCGGGCGCCGGACAGACAGCGTTCGGCGAATTGAGCCGATAGTCGGCCATACATGTGATGCCGTGATAGTGGACGACAGCCGCGCAAATCACAAGTATATGAAACAATTGGTGCGAATGAAACTATAAAACAAACAAAAAACACCAATTAATNTGAATTGAAAAACATTGCAAAAACGAGAATTCATGGGAATTATAAATAAGTTATTGGGCTTTGAATAAAAAATCTCTGCCAAACACACAGTAGTAGTTGTGCTGTTGTGTGTGTTTGGCGAGAGAGAGAGAGAGAGAGAGAGAGAGAGAGAGAGAGAGAATGCGAGACTAGGGCTGACACCATCACGGTGATGGCATCACCAGTGAAAGTGATATCCAGTTCTCGAGAGTTAACGACAATTGAGGTCAGGACTCAAATTGTGTTATGTTTTTGGTATATATCATATCAAATACATATTAAACACAACAACTCCTCTCACTTTTACCATAATATAAATATATATTCAAAAAAGAGAGAAAAACAACTTATTAATCGACTGCAAAACTAAAACACTCGGAACTAAAAACAAAACAATTTTTCATTGCATTTCCTATCAAATCCTTGTGCTCTCAAACACGTATAGTCTGTGTTTCGCACATGTCTTAAGAGAGCCAATAGTTTGAGATCCGAAGTATAGGTTCTGAAAAGTTTTAACGCGTTGTCGAGAAATTGTTTGTGAATTTTAATCTACATTTTAATTGATTGCCAAATATAACGAGTGTCCGGATTGTCGTTAACTATTGTTTAATCTGTTGTAAATGTTTGTCATTTGTATGCCATTGAAGAAGACATGTCTGAAACCCATGAGCCACAGACGCAGTCATCGGGAGTACTGACACACCGGGACGTGTCGTCGCAGTCATCGCTTCCGTGTCGAGCGGCAGAACACGCGGAACAGATCGCCAAGAAGTTACTCGAAGAGGCAGAGAATGTGGAAAATGTTATGCGAAAAGCCATATGCAATGCATGGAATGTAAGCATACACTTAATTATCACTCAATTGTTTCATTTATTTACCATCTGTTCTTTGATAACTGATTTTGTTTGCAATTTTATGATGAGTTTTGACGTTGGTTTTAAATATTTTAATATGCAATTGAAAATTGTGTTTAAAACAGATTTATTTGTCTGTTTTTTAAATTTTACACAATTTAAAAACTTAACAATAATTTATTTATTAATACACGAAATCCTTTGAATCAGTAGTGGTTTGCAGTTTGCAGTAATAGTGTATTAGTTTAGTATTTTGTATTTATTTAGATTCAATTGAGTTATAAATTGAAGTGATAATAAATGTATTGAATATTATGAATGAATGCACGCGACTATTATCGGCCGTGTGTTTGAATACCGATTACTAATTAATTGATTATAATTTGAATTGTACTATAAGTTAATAGTTTTCTGAACGCGTGTCCCATATATTTGATTAGATTTGTGTTTTTAAACCCATTTTATTTTATAATAGTCTAATATACAGACCAATTGATGATTCTTTGTTTAGTAATTACTTAAATATTTAGTATTTTAAAATTAAGTTTAGATTTAATACCGTTTGCCAATGCTAAAATTGAGATTAGATTAGCTATCATGACAGTTTGGTTAACTGCTGTTAATACTTAACAAAGTATAAGCGATTATTAATTGAAATTCAATTTAAAATAAAATAAAAATTGAGAAATGAATTAAATGTTTGAAAATGTTATCTAAAAAATGTTGTTTTTATTGGCAAATAACTAATTAATCGTTGACCCGATCTCTCTATGATTGTCTGCCGTATGGAAAGGTGTGTCACTTTCACGAACTGCCCCAATGGCTAAAAGACAACGACTATCTGGTGATGGGTCACAGGCCGCCGCTGTCGTCATTCAAGGCGTGTTTCTGGTCCATCTTCCGGCTCCACACCGAGACCGGCAACATATGGACGCACGGCGTCGGGTGTCTGCTCTTCATGGGACTGGCCATTCATGTATTTAGCTCTCAGTACCCCAACATTCCCTTAATGGACAAAATAGTGTTCGGCTGCTTGAAGCGGCCACGGTAGTATACGGAGCCTGAGAGGTGGACAATAGTGTGTGAGTCGACGGTGAGCGTGAGACAGCCGGCGGATAAGAGGTTCATTAAACTAACGTGGTGAGGAAGGGGTGAGGACGGGTGAAACACACACACCTCCGACACTCATCTATGTTATTATTTCAATAGATGTTTAGTTTGATTTTTTTGTAACCAATTTAATGGATGTCTTGTTTTTGTTTTGGTCTATAGACTGGACTATTGCGGAATAGCTCTGTTGATCACCGGCTCATTCGTTCCGTGGCTTTACTACGGCTTCTACTGTTCATTAATGCCTAAGATTTTCTACTTGTGTTTAACTATATTCCTGGGCCTGTCGTCAGTGATCGTCTCGCTGTGGGACAAGTTCTCAGAGCCCCACTTCCGGCCCTTCCGGGCGGGAGTATTCATGTCGTTCGGCCTGTCGGGTGTCATACCGGGCGTCCATTGGCTCATTAGTCACGGCCTCACCTCATGGATCGAGTCGTCGATTCGGGCCTCGTTTACGAGTCTTATAGTGATGGGCGCCCTCTATATCACAGGTGGCCTTCTGTACGCCTCCCGAATTCCCGAACGATTCTTCCCCGGAAAATGTGATTATTGGGTAATATTTGGTGTTTTTGTTGGAGTTTTAGTTTGTTTTTTATTAATTGGTGTTTTCTGTTTGTTTCATAGTTTCATTCGCACCAATTGTTTCATATACTTGTGATTTGCGCGGCTGTCGTCCACTATCACGGCATCACATGTATGGCCGACTATCGGCTCAATTCGCCGAATGCTGTTTGTCCGGCGCCCGACGAGTATCTCGAGTATTAAGTTATATATTAGCAACAAATTAGCAATAATTTCAAGTATTATTGAAATCACAAACAAAATAAATTCATTAAACATATTGTGAATCTGTTTTATTTTTAACGAAAACAAACGCTACAAAAAAACCATAGTCTATACATCTGTTCTTTTGAATAAATGTTTAACATTACGGAAATACGTTTGTATGACATTAAGTCCCGCCATCTTATACTTGACCATCCGATCCAACCAAAGAACTGCCGGCACTTTGAAGTAGTGAAGAGCTCCCGAGACGTAACGGAATGGTTGGCCATCTTTGATGAATTGATTCGTATTTGAATCAATGGTGAATTGACCGACAGATCCGATCGCACTCTACATTTAGATTGCATGACATTTCTAGAAATTTATTCAAAATAATAAAATATTCATTTTCTTACATAAATCAAAGTCGAGACCAAGAATATGATTATTAACAAAGAATTCATAATTGATTTAACTAGAAAATGATAACTTATTATGCAATTCATTTATAAATTAGTACATATCTCTCGCTATGCATTTTTTTGATTTAATAAATAATACTAAAAACCTTTCAATCTGTAATATAAAAACTTTATAATTTCATTATTAAACTCAGAAAAAAGTCTGTGATTTGTTCAATTGTTATTATGAAATATAAAAAGCACCTGTATCATAAAAAGCTTTTGGGTTTGATTAAACTAGACCATAAAATAGTGAAAGGTTTCTGAAATATGTAGAAACATATCTAATATTGTTATTATTGTGAAAGAGTTATGAATTAATGTTTAATAAATTAAATATAATAAATATGAATACTTCCTAATTATACATTCATCTTAAATCCTTTAGCTTTGAAAATAAAAAATAATTAAAAATATTCTTCATTTCGATAAATGTTTCGTACATCGAGTCAATACAGTACAATGCCATATGTTTTAAAGTTTAAACCATATCTGCATTTAAAATTTAAATAACAAATGTATACAAAATATTAAAACAATTTTATTCTTAAAACAAAGTTTTATTAAATATTTGGTCAAAAATATAATAATAATTACTTAAGGGGTATATTATATTAATATCTCTAAAATCAGTCACAACAACATTATTATATAAAAAACAAACCTTTAAATACACTTATAATTACATAAAACCAACAAATTATTAATTAATAAAATGCGGACAAAAAACAATTAAAATAATAAAATAAAAACGTAAACCAATTGAAAAAAGTAACGACACATTAAAAAAAAGGTTAATTTGAATTGTTTTTAAAAATCAAAACACATAACAAATGGATTCATAAATAATTAGATAATAAAAACTAAATATTAAGTAAAGATATACCGAATAAGAGATTATTGTTATAATTTTTTTATTTCATATAATTATTATATTTTTCATTGTGTTTTAAATTATGGTATAATTTATAATCAAAAACAAATCATTTGGATGTTGTCTCCAAACAATTTCTATCAAAAAGCAAGAAAAATTCGTTACATATTCTGTTTGTAGCGTTTGTTTTCGTTAAAAATAAAACAGATTCACAAATAATTTATAATCAAAAACAAATCATTTGGAAGTTGTGTCCAAACAATTTCTATCAAAAAGCAAGAAAAATTCGTTACATATTCTGTTTGTAGCGTTTGTTTTCGTTAAAAATAAAACAGATTCACAATATGTTTAATGAATTTATTTTGTTTGTGATTTCAATAATACTTGAAATTATTGCTAATTTGTTGCTAATATATAACTTAATACTCCAGATACTCGTCGGGCGCCGGACAGACAGCGTTCGGCGAATTGAGCCGATAGTCGGCCATACATGTGATGCCGTGATAGTGGACGACAGCCGCGCAAATCACAAGTATATGAAACAATTGGTGCGAATGAAACTATAAAACAAACAAAAAACACCAATTAATCAAAAACAAACTAAAACTCCAACAAAAACACCAAATATTACCCAATAATCACATTTTCCGGGGAAGAATCGTTCGGGAATTCGGGAGGCGTACAGAAGGCCACCTGTAATATAGAGGGCGCCCATCACTATAAGACTTGTAAACGAGGCCCGAATCGACGACTCGATCCATGAGGTGAGGCCGTGACTAATGAGCCAATGGACGCCCGGTATGACACCCGACAGGCCGAACGACATGAACACTCCCGCCCGGAAGGGCCGGAAGTGGGGCTCTGAGAACTTGTCCCACAGCGAGACAATCACTGACGACAGGCCCAGGAATATAGTTAAACACAAGTAAAAAATCTTAGGCATTAATGAACAGTAGAAGCCGTAGTAAAGCCACGGAACGAATGAGCCGGTGATCAACAGAGCTATTCCGCAATAGTCCAGTCTATAGAGCAAAACAAAACAAGACATCCATTAAATTGATTACAAAAAAATTCAAAGTAAACATCTATTGAAATAATAACATAGATGAGTGTCGGAGGTGTGTGTGAGGGGCAGGAGTGGGGAAGGAGTGGTGCAATCAAATTACTTGGAGAATAGGCGGCCGACAGAGTGCGAGTGGCAGCTGAGTGTGTGATAACAGGTGGAGAGTCCGAGGCATATGATGGCACCGGCGAAG